GATCTGGGAATTGAATATCAAATTATTTATCAAAGTTGTTTTAGCTTCCAATTGTGACTGAATCGGTCGAACAATCTTTGATGGAAGTGGTTACTTCAGAAAATTGTAATCCAACGAAGAGTTTACGACAAACTTTCAATGAGATATTTTTGACGTTATTTTTTCTTCTATTTCATCTTATTATGTTGGATATTGGAATAGCGATGCTTGTTATTGGTCTACAAGCGAGATACAACTGTGATATTGAATCTAATATTTCAGTTTATTTAATGGTCGTTGGAATAACGGGCATTGTTGCCGTTGTACTTCTGTTTATCTCAGTAAATCAAATATAGAAAATGCAATGTGGTTTGTCTTTTCTGTATTTATATAAATTTTCTGTTTTAGGTTGCGTCTTACTGGTTTTGGTGGAGTATGTTTAAGAAGCAGACAAAATATCATACGGTTATTGTTATTGACTGTTTAATTGTTGTGTATTGTTTATTTCTGTTTATTTGGCTTATAGTGGTAAAATAACAGTTTTCAATTATATTATAGGCTTCCATGAGAGAATTTTTCGCATCATCGGTAGGGAGAACTCCTCTAACCTCTATTTAGCTTGAATGATATTATTTAATTATAGGATCAGTTAATTTCTTAAACGCATCAGTGTTAAATAGTAGTGGCAAGGCATCTGACAGAACAGCAAGGGCTTTGCATATAACGGTTATCCATATAATAGAAGATGGATAATCTACCTGCTCCTACTACGGTTCAACTTGATAAAAAATTTGTTGGTAATAAACAAATGTGAAAACGAACTACTATTTATAAAGTTATTCATGTTATAGGATATACACTGTTTCTTTCGTCATTTAGGGAAGTGTATGGGTATACAGATTAAGATGGAGTGTACAATTTTCATATTCAGCTCAAACAAATTATTGTTCAGAAACAACTTATAAGTTTTCATATTGGATCATTGTTGTTCAATACATTGTTGGCTTTATTTATGCACTGTTTTGGATAGGATTTGCTTGGATTGTTCGTAAGGAATTTAGGCGACAAACGGTAAAACAATAATTTTACAGCACACAATTCATTTTACAAGTTTTTATATAGATTAATACGATGAAACAATATAAACTAGCTAAAACAAAGTTATGCTAAGAAAGAATCTTTTTCAGTTTCTTTATTTTCTGATGTAGATTTTCATCATCTAAACAAACAAATCACTTTCATCTTCCGTCGGCAAAGCCATAAATATTGATAATAAGAAATCAGATAGTCTAAAAACTACAACAATCAAAACACGTCATAATTGTCGATTGCACTGCAGCTCCTACCGATAAACGACATTTTGTGCATTTAAAAATAGTACGCAAAACAAAACGCTCGAACGAATAACTCAATGAATATTGATTATTGTGATACCCATGTTTACCAAACTGGTAAACGGTTTTTGTTATTTTGTGTGCTTTTTTAGACATTTTGATATAGATGACCGTTCTGTAAAACCTGTGGAAAACTCTTCAGTCACCTATATCAAAATCTCTAAAAAAGCACACAAATTAACAAAAACCGTAGTAAATATGATTGCAGTGCAGCGCCGTAAAATGCAGTGGCTCGATGAAAAAACACCGTGGAAAACTTAGTGACCTCTCATTTTGCTTAGAAATGTTCGTTCTAAACGCCTTAACTTTTTTAACATTTTCTCTCGAATCCTGGGATTTAAATTGTTTTGGTTTTTTAAAATTTGGTTTTCCGGCAATCAAACTCTTAGAAAAACTGAAGAAATTTCTATATACACTGTGTTCGACGTAGAACGTTTTCTGCTGTTCAAATCTTGTTTTTAATTTATCGTAGCTATCGTAGTTGTCGCGAAAACGCGAAAACAATGTTGGGAGTCACTGTACTTATGAAAAAATTAGACAATGAGTACATATTAATACAACAGAATGATCAATTGATAAAAACCTGGATTCGATATGTGGATGATATTCTAATTATAGCGAAGTATAGATGATGTATTAGTATTATTAAATGATATCAACCACATTCGCCCAAACATAAAATTTATTCTTGAGCTAGAAACAGACAATAATTTAGCACTCTTATATGTACTCATTGAAAAACATCAGTGTACAGAAAGAAATCATGTACTCATTTATACATGAAATGGGATTCGTACAATCCAAACTATCAAAAAATTCGCTCTAATAATCATTTGTCACTCGAACAGCTCGGATTTGTTCAGAAAAAAGCCTATTAAATGCTTGAATCAGTTGGATCAAGATTGTTCTACATAAAAATGGATATCCATCACGGTTCTTAGAAAGAAGTACTAAAACAACGTTAGAAAGATATACTAATAGTATCCTTCTTAACTCATCGAAAAATGCTAATGCCAAAGCAAAATAGGAGGCAATATTTGTTTCTATTACCTTGGTAATGAGTCAAAAATTTGTATCAAATTTAAAAGAATTTTAACTAAATATGGAATTACAAACATTAGATTCGGTTTTAGAAAATATTAAACAATAGGCAATACTTACGCTATTACTAACAAAGGTGTTCAATCTTTACGTGGTGATGGAAAGCGGCATTTTAAAAGGGTACTTTCTCTCTTTTCGAATCCATCTCGTTTCTGGTCAAGCATTAACAAATTTCGATCAGGAAAAAGTGGTCTCCCTCAGTTTATGAGGAACAAATTAAACCATACTTGTTCTTCTCTTAAAGAATCATGTGACATGTTCAATACCGGTTTGGTTCTTGTTATTCTTCATCCCATATCTCTGCTGTCCCAGCATCTGGGTCTAAATTCACCGAATTAAAAATTACTGTTTCGAATATTGTTGAAGCCGTCGGTTCTACGAAAAACATCGATAATGTTGGTATCGACGGTTTATCCTTAAAATTCATTCAACCAACACTACCTATTGCCTTTAAACATCTTCTCCGCATTTTTCAACTATCTACGTCTTCAGGAATATTTCCTAAACTCGGATTCTGTTACTAACATTCAACACTTAATCCAACAGGAAATTGACCGTATTGCTACTTGGTGTGTGAAAAACTGTATGGGGTTGAAATAGACAAATGTTCATGGACTTATTTTTGTTTGGATCTTAAGTTTGAGGTTAACCTGTCTTTCTTTGTTGATAATCAACTATTAAAACACGATCCAGCTCCAAAACTCTTAGGTGTGCGTCTATCTCATGATTTAAAATGGTCTGCGCACATTAATGAGGTAGCTTTACCTTGCAGACGTATGCTAGGAGCCATTAACCGAGTCTTTCGCGACCCAGACAAAGTATTGTTGTATTTTCATGCGTTGCTTTAAGTGCAGCCAGTTTCACATTTTTTACTCTAAGAGGGATTACATAGGCAAGCTATTTCCACTGAGAGATCTCTACAGATATTCTCTACTATCACAAATGATTCAGGCTATTTATTACATTTACGAGCCAACCAGTACATAATAGGGAATACAATTGCAAACAGACCGCTTACTGTACCAGTTTTTCCATTACACTATGCGTTGATTGTTGTTTATACATCCATGAATAACCAACAGCATTATCACCAGATGAATTAAGAATGATACATTTTGCCCTGTTAAACATTTAAATTGACTTATGAGTATATTGATCCAAATAGATGAAAACAAAAAGGAATTCATAGTTGAAACATCTAGACATTGGTCATTTCGATAAACAGTTTGTATTGGCAACAATAATAAGTAGAAAAAAAAGTATAAATCGTTTCTAAAGAAGAATATTTTACTGTGTTAAGGGCAGTTCGTCACCAAATATATCAATAGATTCATCATCCGGGTTATATTTATCATATTTTTTTATTTGTACTAATCGTTTCAAATATAAATAAAATATACCAGGATGATAAACAGTTAAAAATATAACAAGCAATAAAAAACCAAATAATACATAAGGAACACCAATGCTGGTATTAAAATAGCTTACGTAAGTCCAATTTGTAGACATTAATTCGGATGTTTTCTTTCCGTTAGCCGGATCAAACGACGTTGCTTAATAGGAAATTGTTTGTTTTACTGGCAAGTTCAAGGTTTCTAAACTAAAACATCAAAAGAAGCTTTTAACCAGCCAAAGTAAGGACTTGATCTTAGATAGAATGGTTTAATACTGCGCCATTCTCACTTGTAGAATTAGTTTGATTTTTAGACTGTTCCCTAAAAAGATCTACTTCGAGAATGAGTCCGCAGGCGATTCGAAACTAGTTCGCAGTGGTCAACCATGTGGACATTAGGTGAAAAAACAAAAGTGGACTTTTGGCAATTTCAATAGCAGAACATATACTTCGACAAACGCTCTATTTTTTTGCCATTGGAAGCTTTTTTCTAGGTGGCGCGAAACCAGAGAATCAAATTTTTGAGTTATAGGTTTTCCAAAAACTCTCAGTTTTTGAGAAAACTTTTGAGTTTTCTCTGCTTACTAGCATTAGAACTATAAGCCAATAACATATTCGGAATCAGAGCAAAAAGCTGCATCGAATGGTATATAACTTATCGATTCTAGGGCGCAGTTAACTCTAGCCGTTGAATACTCAAAATTCTCCTTTGGTGCCATCTGTCGTTGAGTATCGATAAGTTGAAAATTGGTTAGATGTAACTCAGGCCAGACTGACATCTCTGATACGATTCAAACAGTAACTGAAAGCCCTTTCCGTCGAACACAAGGCGCAGAATATGTCGCCGATTTTTGCATCTGGAACTTGTAACAGTCACTTACTCTATTTTTGGTTTTTTACACCTGCCAGCTGCACATGTTTAAATGTCAGCTATACAAAAAGATTGATTGCGTTACAATGTTATGATGTAATTTCACAACCGCTGCGTAACATAACTGTAACTGACAAACAGCGGTGAAGAAGCGTTATTTGCTATTTGTTCGTCCTGCACGGTGAACAGAGCGTAGTTTTTCGGTGAAACGTTTATTTTTTTGGTGCTTTAACATGAAAACGAATTGAAATATTAAACAAACATGCATGCATCTCAACTGGCCAATATTGGCATTCATTATCTAGGCGACCTTCAGCTCGATGATCTTTGTCAACTTCACGAGGAGCTGGACATATTATGGAAAAGTGGAAATTCCCAGGTAGCAAATAATTTATATGATAGAGTCGTCGATAGTATCGCTCACGAAACGTCACGGCTCAACAATGATCCATATGATTATGCCGTTAAAAAAACAGATTCTCAACTTGACAAACTGGTACGTTACCTGACTCAGCTCAATCCTCAGAGAGAACCTCGCGTGTATGATACAGTATGGGATATTCTTAATCAAGAGTTGTCAATACGCAGCCAAATGGGTTCTTGTTCGACGGTTACATTTCCTCCATATTGGACTGCAGCATCAATAACCGAATCACCAGTGCAACTTATTCCTCTCTCACAATCATCTCAAGAATTTCAAGACTTATCGAATTTTTTTGCAAAATCACTTGAAAAACCATCCACTGTTGTTTATTCTATCACAAGAATTCAAAACGTTCGTCTATGGCACATTCATCAACAGTTACAAAAAGTAATTCCTCATGGTAGTCGACGTCTGATCCATGGAACAGCCTCACCGCTAACGCAAAAATTGATCATGTATCATGGTTTTTGTCGAAGTTATTGTCCTGGTGGTCTTATCGGTGATGGAGTATATTTTGCAGTGAATGCAAGTTATTCAAATAGCGATCCGTATGTACTGAAGAGAACGGCACATCGACGAGAACTGTTTATTTGTCAAGTACTGCTTGGAAACTCGAGTCAAGGCAGTTTTGGACTTAAATCGCCAGCGCCAGGATGCCATTCAGTGTTTTATATAAATGGACCTGAAAATGATCAGTTTTGTATTTTCAATCACTCTCAAGCGTATCCGGAATATGTAATTCAGTATGACCATCAATAAAGTAATAGCAGACAGAAGATGAAATCGACTAGAACTGTGTCGAAAGCACCACCATCGACTGATCTAACAGCAAAAAGATACGTACAATCCTGATTGTCGTGCAGTAGTATTCTTTATCATTTTCAACTTTATATTTCTCAATTCCTAGCGTTCGCTACCACACTTCTGCAGGAATTTGCTGAAAATGAATTCTGAAAACCCGAAACCGTGGTATACACATTTTATCAAATGCTAGATTTACGACAGTTCCAACCGACTTTTTAAGAACCTAAATCCAACTTTGACCTGGTTGTCAATGGTTACCTCAAACCTCGTGTCTTTAGATCCATTTTTAGACTTACAGAATTTAACAATACTGCGGATATATACGAATAGTTCGTCAGTTTTTTCCTGGCAACTTACCTATTTACCTTCTCTGCATTAGATGATGTGCCTTTGAGACAAAAAGCTTTCGACACTTTTTGTCAAAGTCCGATCAGTTTTTACTCCAAAATGTTTTGTCTCTAAATAACCCAAAGGCACATCGTCTGATGCAGTGTTTGACGCTGATTCCAAATATAATCTTATTTTTGTTTTAAGATGAAGTCTTGATGCCAAAAATCTCAAAAAACTGAAAAAATGATGTCGATCGGCCGTCTTGTTTTCAAGTTTTTAAAACTGTTGCAGGGCTTTTAAAACAACGTTTTCTGGCTTAGTTTTTAGAAACTTGAATTTCCTATAGGGTGTCACCTTCATATTTCTAGGAAAATTCTGTTTGGATAGCTAGGTTGGTATACTAAGATCGAAAGAAAACGATTTTCTCTATCGTATCGACACCTTTGAATTCAAAATTGAACGAAAATCAGATCTAGAATATCGACCTTAAAATGTGAGATGAAACTTCGTCTGATTGATGGACAGCTGATCAATCAAGTTTAACATACTTCTGTGCCCCTGAGATCTCTCTGTTGGATACTGAAAACCGCATCTTGCTACTTCTTGTCGTTCTTGAGTTATTCGGAAAACAATGGACTGCCTTGTATTTTGAAATGGCTAGTAGTTCGAAGAACTAGGCTGTGAGCGTAAAGTTATTACATTTTAACGCTTAATGTGTCTTATTGTTGATATAACAAACCTGGTGCCGTAGTGCTCATGCCCATTCACTCTCATCATGCCTCCCAAGCCTCCCCTATATTATATTAGAATATAACACTCATTTGAACTCGTAACAAGTTTTTAAACTCGTACGAGTTCAAAACAGACAAAACTAGACGCACGGAAGCCTTTTTTCATCTCGTTACGAGCACGAATTTAACACGAAGTCAACAGTATTGTTAAATAATCTGTTTTACTGGATATTTCAGTTGACAAAGGGAAAAAGTCAAGGGTGAAACCGTGGAAAGGTACGAACAATTTTTCTTTACATTTTTACTTTTAAAAGATGAAAAAATCATTCAGCTGAGTACAATTTAACTGACTTTGATTCACTCGGTTGTTGATAGTGTGTTACGGGTGGTAATGAGTGTTGGGGCAACGAACTGTTTGATATTTTGTTTAATTCACACCGTAACAACTTCATTAGCCTTCATTAGAACTAAATCCGCTTTTGGAAAATCATGCAAAAAACTGTCGAAGCGAATTGCCGCCGTAGAATCTGCACCAGCCTAGGAACTTGGCTAACACGAAACAAAAATAGAGCCATGGAGTGGTGGTGGACCCTAAGCAGAATACTGACGAGTTTGTACTCAGTCTTATTGAAATCGGCATGTGTATGCAATAACCTATAAAGGGAGTTATCTTGCATTTTTCCCAACAAAAGGGTTTTGCAGAAACCCAGCTCTCTGGAAAATTTTCTGGAACGTTCTGAAAGTATTTTCTGTTATTAGATTTGAAATCAGGATACTCGAAAACCTATGAACAATTATTTCCTCAAAAAAATATGCATTTTTTAAACCGTTTTGATCTCTGAAACCCAGGGATTTCTGATTTTTGAGCTCTGAAAAGTGTTCCATTGGAAAGCACACATTAGAAAACCTACAAAAAGAGTGTTCTGAGTTTCCTGAACTTGTGTGAAACCTAATTTTCACGTGCCTAGTGGAAATTTCCCATTGTGAATTGTGCAATGAATGGTTATTGGTTCTATAAGAAATCCCGACATCTGGATCTTTTCCGACATTCAACATTCATTCGTTCTTAATATATACATTGGAGTTCGAGATGTCTCCACGAAACTCAGCACATTTTATAGAAATTCCTACATTTGTGTATTCTGATGTATTCTCGTGTATTTTCAGTTAGAATGTACCGAAACCGGTTAGTCAAAAAAAAACAGGCGGTTTTTGAGAATACACTACGCACTGTTGTTCTGACATCTCTGGAAAGTTAGTCTCAGATGTCAACTTTCGATTACTGAAAATCAAAATTTACTAAAAAAGCGGCAACCTGCACCTTATTTTGGCGACGATAATAGTTCGTAATCAAGTCGGTGTGATGAAAGTACATATAGGCATCCCTATATTCTAGTATGATCCACCCGAAACCAGCTATACTGAACGCGGTGCATCCTCTTTAGCATGCGATAAATCTGTAGTTTCTGTGAAGCCGAAACTTCCACCAGCGCCTTCAGCAGCCTCCATTCCATTTCGATGTAGATCAGTTAGGCCCACTATAGTTTTAGACAAAAGAAAGCAGTCATGAAAACAAACGGTTCACTCCGGTGAACACTCCGGGTCGGGTTCGGGCTTTTCAACTTCCTCAATTCCTTATCTATGTGCGTACTTGGATCTTTTCTTAAAACTTCGCATGTATCCGTATCTAACTTAATCTTAACTTTTTTTCTTATAATCTTCAACGTCTAACGCGACTTATCGGCTGCTCCAACTAGAACTTCTTTCTCTTCTTTTAACTTTTTCATTGCTTTAAACTGTTCCGATTTTAGATTCTTAATATTATTCTGTTTCACAGCTTTTGGCGAATATTGATCAATATTGTTTCTAACATGTGTTACAATTTTTGTATAATGTTTGTTTTGTACAATGAAGATTCAATACCAGAAATTACATGTGAAACCTACTTAGAAAAATCTAATTTTTGGTGTTGGTATACAATTAAGTTCTAAGCTTAAAACTTGTTTTCGTCTTTTGTTCGTTCTCTTGTCAGGTTAACAACAAATGATCCGATATACATAAGCATAACTTCCTTACGAGGGAACCTCTCCAGGTGTCCCACTCTGTTTGAGTTCATATTTTACTGATCGATAGCAGACATCAGTGTAGCAAAAAGTCTAGAAGGATTTGGGCTGTTGCGACTTGCTTCTCGAGTTATGATTGATTTACTGAAATTAGTATGACGGTAGTGCGATTTGAATTTCATTCTTTTATTAATGTGCATATGATGTGCTTCTTTAAGAAGAAATGAAAAGTCTCAATCAAATCTTGGTGAAGTCGTGCACTTTGAAGAATACAAAATTCGATTTCTCAAGAAAAAGCACGACTAAAGTCGGAAATTTGCTTACAACTATTGTTGCTGTCAGTTTCAGCTGTTTAATGCATTGGAATAGAACGTTGCAGTAAAAAGACTAAAACTCGAATTCCACTAAATCAATCATAACTCGAGAAGCAAGTCGCAACAGCTCAAATCCTTTCAGACTTTTTGTTACACTAATGTGCGCTATCGATCAGCAAAATATGAGCTCAAACAGAACGGAACAGTTGAAGGGGTTTTATCGTTAATATTTCCGTCGAGGTTCAAGCTAGTATCATTGTAGTACGAGTCAAATGAATTATGAGAATATCCGTGAGTGCACTGGGAATCATTACTACATGATGATATTTGTTTCTGGTTAAAATAGTATCCTATTCGACCTCTGACAATCGTTTGTTTTCATGACTGCTTTCTTTTGTCTAAAACTAATGCACTGTCTGAATCAACATGATTAACGTTACTTCTAATTTCTTCTCTTTGGAATAGGTTAATCCTGCAAATGATGAATACACCAATGTCTCGATCGGGCGGAAGCGTATTCCGATTGGACATACAATTGCCAAATATAATGCTGCAATAATTCTATGAAATTGCATGGCATGCCTCTATTGCTGATATAAAAATATTCTTTAGGATATATCAGAAACACCAATGACAATGAGGATAAAAATCATGTTTAGCGCTTTATTAGTATTATTTTTTGCTATCGCAGTAATTGTGCCGATTTTAGTTGTTTATCTGTTACCGACAATAAGAGATAAGAACTTTATTGATTTCAATTGTAACGAGAATGGAAAGATGTTTGATGATTAATTTAAGGGTTTTAAACTTTCTATTTGGTGAATTGTTTATATTTTTTGTGAATTAATCATATTGAAAACTATTTATCTCTACTTAAATGAAAACAGCTTTCCCGTTTCAGATCGAAATCTTTTACTACACATGTCCACCTTCAGGATCTCCAAAGAATTTTGTAATGAAAACATATTCGCACTCATACAAAGCATCTAAAATAAATCGTCAATCGGGCTCTTCCAGTTAGCAGTAGAAGAACATGAAAAAAAATCGTTAATTGGGCTATTGTAATAAGTTGCATCCAACTTACGCTAGATTTAGTGGTGGTTAGGGCCTATATTGGGTATTTACAGACCAGTTACGTAAATTATATCTATAATAGGTGTATGGGCCTATTAGAGATTAATCAGAAATAAGGCTACTCGGCGTATGAAAGAGACTTCTGAAATAACAGATATACAAAAAACATTCACGGGTGGCAGTCTTTAAACTCGTCACGAGATGAAAAATACCAACGTCTTCTTTTAGACTGGGAAGCTGTTTTGAACTCATTACAAGTCCAAACGAGTGTTATATTCTAATGTAATATAGGGGAGGCTGGAGATGCTGTTTTGAACTCGTACGATTAAAAACTGGTTGCGAGTTCAAATGAGTGTTATGTTTGAACTCATGACAAGTTTTTAAACTCGTACGAGTTCGAAACAGGCTTCCCTATACTATAGTAGAACATGACACTCATTTGA